CTGTATGATACAGTAATGATGGACATGTGTCAAACCCCATACAGTGTGCAACACAAGGAGTGAACCATAGCGCAAACTATGAACTTTAGTCAATCATAATTAACCAATATTAGTTCATCAATTGTAATAAATGTACCTTATTAACATAAGATGTAAAAGAATAAGCCAGACTGTGGGGAGGGAGAATGTGGAGGAGGGTACATGGAAACTCTATGTACTTTCCAATCAATTTTACTGCAAACCTAAAACTGCTTTTGAAAAAGTGTATTAAATACACAGACACACACACACACACACACGCGCGCGCACACATGCACCCAAGAGGTTAGGTAATTCACCCAAGGCCAAACAGCTAATCACAGAGGAGGGAGGATTTGAACCTGGGGCTGTTGGCTCTAAAGTCCAGACTCTCCATAGTTGCAGCCTCACAGGGCGGGCCTGTTCACGTTTCTATCACCTTCCACGTCAATGCCAGCTGCAGCACCTGTATAACTGAAAATTGTACCTCAAAGGACCAAGCTCAGTATTTTGGTTGGTATCAGGAAAGCATAGGCAGAATGAGTCTAGGAACATTGGGGAGGAAAGGAAAAACCCCCAACAGTGCCAGGATGGGTGGGGATGGGAGGCCGACCTTTGGCATTGTGCTAGGGCCCTGGGGAAGGGGGCAAGCAAGCAGATGGAGAGAAACCCCCCTTCTCCTCGGCCATGGCTGTCCTCGCTGGGCCTCAACCCCAGCCCAGCCCTGGGATGATGGTCTGAGGCTTAGCTCAAACACCAGTGGGCTGAGTGACCGCCCCAAGCCTCTGGCCTCAGTTTTCCCATCTGTATCATGGGAGGGTTTGAGCACCCTCGGCTGATCTCCAAGGGCCTTTCCAGCACTCAACTTCTAAAACCCTTTATCTACCCACTCTTTCCTCACCCCCAGTAGCAAAGCAGAGAGGGGGCTGCTTGAGGAAAAGGGAAGGCCAACCCCTGATCCCTCCCTGGTCTGACTGGGGAAGAGCTCCCCTCTGCTCCCATGGCTAATCACTGGGCATCCTGACAGTCACCCTCCTAGGACGCAGTTCAAAACTTGGATGAAAGTGGCAGGAAGGCCCATAACAAAGTTAGGCACCTGGTCATCCTGAGCACCAGGGCAGAGCTCTGGCCCTGCCCAAGAGCCTCCACCATCTTTGATAGGGATCAAGGTGTAGGTACATTGTGGCCTAGATGACTCACAAATAGTGATGACCCCAAACTTCCCTTACAGTGAAATGCCAGGCATGAAAGGTGCAGGGCCATGGTGACTTGTTTCCATAGGGCTCCAGGATCATGGCCTTGGAGCAGGACCAGGGCCTTTCTGCGGTCCTCCCTTACCACTTCATCCATCCCTGCTCCCAACCCAGCTGTGCCTGTGAAACCACCTTAGCCGTGGAGCCCCTCTGCCTATCCTCAATGCCTGGCGAACTCCTGCTCATCTCAGTTCAGATAGCCCCTCCTCCGGGAAGCCCTTCCTGACTGGGTCACGATCTCTTCTGGATGCCACAACTCTGTGTTTCCTGACCACTGTGTAGGGGCTTCTGGGAGATGGTGAGATCTATGCAGAATTCAGAAATGAGAAAAGATTTGCAGCACAAAGGGGAGAAGGAAGGGCATTTTAGGTACGGAGGCAGCACAGTAGAAGCCTAGGTGGCAGGGAGGGCAGTGATTGGGCTTCTCCCAGGGCAGAGGGCACCCCAAACAGCTCACCGAGTGGACCGTTTCCCAAAACAAAACAACCAAACCCAAACCTACAAAATGAATTTCTGGCCCCAGGACGAGGGCTGGAGGTGGGGGAGACAGGAAAGATTCCGGAAAGAGCCCAACCAGTGAAATGTGGAACCCACTCATCCCCGGCCCTGCCCTATGCTCTACAGCCCCAGCCTCCTGCAGGTAGCTCACGACTCAGTCTATTTTCCATTGCATAGCCTCATCTGATGGCTTGAACAGAGAGATCCCAGCTGCCACCATCTCACTGTACAGCCTTGGGGAAGTCGCTCTACCTCTCTGGGCCTCGGAGAAGCCCTAGATTCTAACGGAATCTGCAGAGAAGGTAACCAGACCTAGGGGCAGGAAGGAAGTCTAAGTCACAGGGGCAGCTTCCAGTTGGGAGAGGCTTGGGGAAGAGGTGCCTGGAAGGAGGCAGGGACAGAGGCCTTGAGGTGAAGAGGCAGGTGGGGTCTGTGCCACCCAGGCCCTGCAAGCCTGCTCATTCTGGGGAAATGTTACTCAGTGGCCAAGGCTGGGGCTCAGCCGGAGCCTCCAAGAATCAATCATGCCATAATTAGGGTCACTATTAATCTCTTTCCACGGTGATGCCAGGGCCTCCTGTTTACCCAACACTTCTGTCCCAAGAGACCTCTGATTGTCATTCCTCTCGCGAGGAGGCTGGCAGGGCCCAGAGGTGAAGGTAGACTAGTTCTTCCCCAGCTCAGGAGCCTGCCCGGGGGCCTTGGGTTCTCTTGGTACAGAAAGGACTTCTCTTTCCCAGGTCAGGGCTATGAGCTTGGGCTGAGTAGTCACCAAAAGTGACCTGGCCTTTCCCAGAGGGCACAGCTTAGCATCTCAGAACTCAAAATCTCAGGCTCCAAATGCCCCAAATTGGAGCTCTAGAATCACTTCACCCAAGACTCACAGTGTCATGGAATCCTCATTGAACAATTCAACTGGCATCTTCAAACTATCCCTGGATTTCAGACTGCTAAGTCACACAGTATCAGCGCCAAAGTCCCGGAGGTACTCCGTCCAGCCTCCCCTTCCATTCAGAAATCCCCTGTGCCGCTCCTACTGGTGGTTCTCCAGTCTCTCCAGACCAGCTGGTGGCTTCCCTAGGCTCGCATACTCCTAGTGACAGGCCCCTCCCTCCCTGGAGGGCTGAGTAGTTTTCTCCAAGCCACCAGGACTGTTGGAAGGCCATCCTAAGAAGAGATCCTGCCCCCACCCCCTTCTCCCCCAGTGACACTGACAGGTTCTCTGGGGAGCAGGCAGAGAGAGGGAAGGGCCCCGGGACAACTACTCGGGGGCAGTAGAGACTTTCAGCATCCCCCACCCTCAGTTTGACTTGTGCAAACCCCTTCCAGGAGCCCAGTGGCTCAGCTGCAGGAGTCAGGCTGGCTTTTTCTGATGGCTCTTCCTCAGTCCCAGGGAAGGGGGAGTGGGAAAGTGGGGCACACCAAGTAAATGAAAGGGCGGGGGAGGAGGAGGAGGAGCGTGAGTACAGTGGAGACTTGTACAGAGCAATCTTGTCTCTGTCCTCTCCTGCCCCTCCTTGTACCACTGTGCTCCAAAGACAACACCTACCCAGCTTTCCCACCTCCACGCCTCACTCAGGTTGGGCCCTCTGCCAGGAAAGCCCTCCCCAAATCCCAATCCAAATCCCATCCATCTTAACAAACAGACCCCGTGTAAAGCTTGGGCTAATTCCCCCCAACAAAAGCCCACTGCCTCCTCCTTTTTGTGCTCACATCATCTGGCAGAGCTCCTGAGAATGATCACAGGCCTCAGTGTGCTGTAATTATCTGCTTCCGTGGCTGCCTCGCCCGCCAGACTGAGAGCTTCCCCAGGTTCAGACTTCTGATCCACTTGGCCAAGCTTTTCTGAAGACCTATAGTGTCTGCAGCCCCACACCTGGTGATGGGGACATAAGATATGCCAGGCCCTGTCCTTACTAGAAGAGTCACTGTATAGGGGACCTATGTCCCCTGCACTGGGCCTGGTACCAAGGAGGTACCTAATTAGTTGTCAGTCAAAAAGCTGGTTAAATGCAAGACGGAAGGAAAAAAAGAACCAATCAAAGCATCTTACACCACACAACTGCAGAGCCACTTCTGAAAGCCTGAATTCTGCCTCTGAATAATAATTAGCCTTTTCCCAATTTACAGAAAAAAATTAAGTTACTAAAAAAAAAAAAGAAAAAAAAGAAAACTAAATTAGGTACTTTTCTCTCACAAATTTTTCTTAAACCTCTGATATCCATTTGCACATTTCTATACCATATCTAGTGTAAGATGACCCCAGATCTAGCACAGGATACTAATTTCATCACTGTCATGAACACTGCTACTCTTCACAGTCTTCTGCAAAGAGCAGCAGTTTCCCTGCTTCCAGGCATGTCGGAGAACCTGGGGCCTAAACTTTTCCTCTCTTCCTTCAAATGGCCAGGTTTCACCTTGGTGACCAATGAAAACCGAGCTTGCTTGAATGCTGAGGAAGAAAGTCCCAGGAGTTGGCTGGCCCACCTTGAAGGTTCATGCCAGTTCCATGATATAAGGCCTCCAAATCCACTATTTGTCATTCATTCCTTTGGAGGAAGCATCACTTTCTCTAGGATTCTCTTTTAAAATATAAATCTTCTCTGGAGTTGGGAGCCCATTCAACCCTCAGATTGGAGGTCAAGGAAACTTAGTTTAATGCTGGGCTCTTGAGGGGCAGTAAATCACAGGGTTTGTGAAGAGGTCGGCCTGCCTGGGTTTTTATTTACTTTAATTTTTTTTTTAGAGACAGTCTCACTCTGTCACCCAGGCTGGAGTGTAGTGGCACAATCATAGCTCACTGGAACTCGAACTCCTGGGCTCAAGCGATCTTCCTGCCTCAGCTTCCCAAGTAGTTGGGACTACAGGTGCGTGCCACCGTGCCTGGCGACCTGGCTGGGTTTGAAACCCAGCTCTACCATGTATTTAATGGAGCAAGTTTCTAAATGCCTTTATACCTCAGCTTCCTTATCTATAAAGTGGGGATAACCATGGTATCAGCCTCATGGGCTCTCAGACAAGTACCTGGAACGCTGTACTAAGCAAGAGACAAGTCTACTCAGAGCTTCAGTTTTTCCTGTCCATAAAATGGGACAATAATCCCATTTATGCCTTTTCATAAACCGTAGAGTGCTGCCCCCATGGGGGAGGTGGACATTGTGTAAGAACCCAGACAGCTGCCCTCTGCAGCCTGTCTTGAACTCCTTTCTCCCTCCCTCCTTTTCTCTTTACCTGGAAGAAGGTACCAGTGGCTGTGAGCTGGGCTCCTGGGGGTGTCCTGTCCACAGAGGCAGTGATATCGCTTCACTGGGAGAGCTGAGAGGAAAAGGGGATAAACCCAGTGAGTTCATTCATCAGTTCATCCTGCCTTCTACTGTCCCACTTGACCCTTAGTGAGTGCCCATCCCACTGGGCTGAGTGTGGGGCCCAGTGATGGGTGACACCAAGTCCCTGCCCTGGGGAAGCCACAAAGCTGGTGGGAGGGCTGACAGGACCTACGTGATCTAATCCCCAGCCATGAAACCCGGCACATGCAATCCACCTCCACGTATGCTGCCCACAAACCAGCCCTAGGCCCAACCCATACAACCTGTTCCCTGAACCACTCCTGCCCCTCCAGGACCCACGGACCCAGGATCCCAAGCTCAGCCACCCTGGGGGCAGAGGCCCTTTCACGCTGCCCAGGGACCTGTTTCTCTGAGGTAGCTGCCAAACCAGCTGTTCTTCTAAAGCAGCCGCTAAGGGAAGGATGGTAGCCCGGAGGTGGGATCTCGGGCACCACAATTACGTGCCTGAGCTCTGACTCATGCACCACCTCCCCCATCACCAGCTCCTGCAGCCAGCAGGGCAACCCTCCGCCCAGGAACTGGGAAAAGAGATGGTATCGACAGGCCACGGGAAGCAGAGGGCCAGGAGAGGTGAGGAGGAGACTGCAGGTCAGCATTGCAGGCTTCAGAGGATGCTAACACCTTGTCTACTAGGGACACTGAGGCTGCAGGGACGGAGGCCTACCTACATCACACAGAGGCAGAGCCAGGGCTGGGACCTGAGCCTCCTGGTGCCAATATGACAACTCTCCCCAACCCAACTGGACTCTAGAGCCACACACTGGCAAGAAACATACAGTCAAACACACGTCTCTGTGTGTGAACCAGAGGTGGACAGAGCTGGACTCAGAGACAGCTGGGAAATGACAGCCACTGAGAGATCAGCACTTGGGACACTACCAGGCCTGCCCCTCTCCACCTCCAGCCCCCAGATTTCTCACAGTGCCCTGAATGTACAGCACTTTACAGTTTATAAAACATACTTATTTCCTCTACCCCCTACAATGATCCTAAGGCCTAAGTGGCAGAGGAAATAAAAATAGACCAGTGGCTTCTCCTCTAAACTTTAATGTTTGAGAAGCCATGGTCTATTTATATTTCCTGGGGCCTTGGACCTCAGAAACCTAGGGAACTTGTTAAAATGCAGTCTGACTCAGTAAGTCTAGGCTGGGGCCTGAGATTCTGCATTTCTGATAAGCTCCCAGGTGATGCTGATGCTGCAGGTCCCTGGACCACAATTTGAGGAGCAAGGCCAGAATGAGTCAAGAGCATGGGACCTGGAGTCAAACTACACAAGTTAGAATCTTGGCTCTTACTGTGTGACCTTGGGCAAATTACTTAACCTTTCTGTGCCTCAATCTCCTTAGGTATAAAATACTACGAATAATAAAACCTACCCCATAGGGTCAATGTGGGGATTAAATTAGTTACCATACATAAAACACTTAAAGTGACTATTATTTCAGATTTTGAAATGGAGGTTCTGAGAAGTGAACACACCCAGCAAGGCAGCAGAGCCAGAATTCAAGCTCAAACCTATAATCTGCACAAAACGTCACAGCCATCAAACCGCTCCCCCATCAGACAGACATGGATATTGAGGCCCAGATAGGGGCAGAAAACTGAAATGACCACCAGAAAGTTGGTGTGAGAAATACAAGTCCATGACTCCGTCCCAGTGCTCCTTCCACCACACCTTATGGCCTGTCAGAAAAGAAAGTACTGCAGAGTCTCCTCAGGGCTCTCAGCTCTGCTGTCAGCCTTACCTGGTCCCACAGCTGCCCTGGAAACTACCTGTGGGGTTGCCTGGACGTGGAGGCCGTCCCCATCCCCACTCTGTCTTCTCTCCATCCTGCCCACCAGGCTGGGTGAGGCAGAATGGTCTCACATCCTCCTGCCATTCCCCTCCTCCTCCCTCCAGCCTGTGCCCACTGTCCTGTGTCAGGTCACCCAGCTGGGGTCTCAGGCTGAGGGTGACACGCCCGGGTCTGGCTCCACTCCCACCTTGCCTTCCCAGCACGGGGCCAATGGGAGGCTGTGAGTCACTGAAGGAAGTGCTCGGCCCCAAACAGGAAGAGGCTCTTCAAGCAGAAACTCCCTGCAGGATCCCCCAGTGCCCTGGGGCAGATGGCTTAGTAGTGGAAGCTGGTGAAGGAAGGGAAGCTGATTGGGACACAGCAACATCTGCTCAGATTTTACCTGACATTCAAACTTGGCACTCACCCTCCACTTTTTGCTGCCTGGCCTGAGGACTTTTCTGCTGTGGACTGGCTGTGCGTCTTACGTACGTCAGCATCAGTACCCTCTCTGATCCTCATTCACAGGATCATGGACTGCACTAAAAGACTGCTATAGCCTGGTAATCTACATGAAATGAAGGGTTGGAGCAAGTGAATACAGGGTTTTATTTTATTTCTGAGACAGACTTTCGCTCTTGTTGCCCAGATTAGAATGCAATGGTGCAATCTCGGCTCACTGCAACCTCTGCCTCTCGGGTTCAAGTGATTCTCTTGCCTCAGCCTGCTGAATAGCTGCGATTACAGGCACACACCACACCCAGCTAATTTTTGTATCTTTACTAGAGACAGGGTTTCACCATGTTGGCCAGGCTGGTCTTGAACTTCTGACCTCAGGTGATCCACCCGCCTTGGCCTCCCAAAGTGCTGGGATTATAGGCGTGAGCCACTGCACCTTGCAAATATAGGGTTTTAAGTGAATGAACAAATGCACATGAGTGAAATGAATGAGTGAATTAAGATACCTAGATGGGGCCGGGCGCGGTGGCTCAAGCCTGTAATTCCAACACTTTGGGAGGCCGAGATGGGTGGATCACGAGGTCAGGAGATCGAGACCATCCTGTCTAACACGGTGAAACCCCATCTATACTAAAAAATACAAAAAAAAAACTAGCCGCGAGTGGCGGGCGCCTGGTAAGTCCAGCTCACGTTCCGAGAGCGGCTGAAGGCAAGAGAATGGGTGGTGGAAACCCCAGGAGGCGAACTTGCAGTGGAAGCCTGAGTCCCGGTCCCACGTGCACTCCACGCCTGGCGACCAGAGTCGAGACTACTGTCCTCAGAAAAAAAAAAAAAAAAAAAAAAAAAGATACCCTACAGATGTTAAACTATAAGGCTATAGCATAAGATCTATCATTTGTCCCCTATTGTTCACTGTATGATAGAGAACTCTTTATTGGCAAGGAAGATTCACCCCCCGAACACCCTTACACAGGGAAAAGGGACCCCACACAATCACACACACACACACACACACACACACTCACAAATAAAATTCTAATTAGAGTACACACGTCACATTACATCATGTGACCTGTAATCCTAAACATTCCGCTCCTGATGTAACACCTGTAAGGCTCCAGTTAAACTCTTGTTTCTTTTCTTTTTTTTTTTTTTTAAAGGCCATGATTGGGGACTGGCGTTCTTACTGATCTGGCCCAGGCTGGAGTGCAGTGAGCTATTCTCAGTGCACATCATAAACACCTACAGGCTTGTGAACTCCCAGGCTCCAAGCAACCCTCTGCCTCAGCCTCCCGAGGTAGCTGGGACTACCAGGCCACGCTGACCATGCCGAGGCGCCTATTCCATTTTCTTTGAACCCTTGAAGAACAAAAAGCGTGATTCCTGGTTAAGATGCTGTAAAATGGTCTACGGGTCCGTGTTGCTGCTGAAGGGGGGAGATTGGATGCCTAGCTATGGGGGAAGGGGTGCAGCGGGGGGGCGCACTGCAATGGCAAAAATATATCCAAGGGAGGACACAAGTTAGCTTGATCCAAAGCCTCCTCCCCCAGAACAGCCAGCGAGCACGAGTTTCTTCATACAACGCATCTCTATTCCCAGTCCGGCTGTGCATCCTTTAATATTTGGGCATTTCTTCCTGCTCCAATTCTGTGGTTCTAAAAGTACTCATGAATTAGTGTGGATATTCACAAAAATGCACATGGTGGCTGAGGAACATCTTATAAAATTCTGCAACTCCAATTAATGTAACACGAAGTCTGGTATTAATTCTTTACATTTGCAACTAGATGGGACATTGAATACTAGAACTGTGAATAGTTTCATTTCTATAAAATTTCAAAAAATTGAATTAATATTTCATGTCTATTTAAAAGATTTTACTTTAAGAAATCTGATCTTCATCGTTGTGATGGTACTGTGTTTTCATTTAAATAAATCATTTTATGGAATAAAAACCCTCTTGAAAACATAAATAAATTTCCATGTTTATATTCCACATCTCGTTTACTATCTTATTTATTTATTTATTTATTTATTTTGAGACAGAATCTCGCTCTGTCACCAGAGCTAGAAGGCTGGAGTGCGAGAGTAAGATCTTGGTCAGCTGCAACTCACCTCCCACAGGTTCAAGTTATTTTCCCTGCCCAGCACATCATCAAGTGCTGGGGATTAGCAGGCATGTGTCCACCATGTCAACTAATTTTAATATTTTTAGAAGAGATGGGTTTTTACCATGTTGGCCAGGCTGGTCTTGAACTCCTGACCTCAGTGATTTGCTTGCCTCGGCCTCAGTGCTGAGATTACAGGTGTGAGCCACTGCAACTGGCCACAGCTCATTTTTATTTATTTCATAAAATCTTTATTTTAGCAAGATCACTAATTATATTGTTATAATCAAGATTTTCATCACTTGTGTTCTGTTGATGGCAATAATCTAAAGTACTAAAAATAAAATGTGTTTGTATTTAAAGTATACAAAATTTGATGGCCACATGCTGTGGCTCACGCTTATAATCCCAGCACTCTGAGGGCCTAGGCAGGCAGATCACCTGAGGTCAGGAGTTCAAAACCAGCCTGGCCAACATGGTGAAATCCCGTCTCTACTAAACAAAATTTAGCCGGGTGTGGTGGCACACGCCTGTGGTCCCAGCCATTCAGGAGGCTGAGGCAGGAGAATCACTTGAATCAGGGAGGCAGAGGTTGCAGTGCACTACCTTCATGCCACTGCACTCCA